GTCTCGAATCTCAGGATTTTCATTGGTCAGTGTACATCATTTGGCAGTTTCTAACCAATGAAATCCTGAGATCTGGGTTTGATGTTAGAGAATTTTTTAAACCTCAGACCCAGGTCTGTGTAATGAATTATGTCTTTAAATGTTTACTGTTTTACAAACCAATTTTACACTCAACTTCAGTACATTGTTTTTTTGAATTACATGTATACTGAACCAAAAAAGAAACTTTCGCAAAGTATGTGCCAGTTGTTCAAGGGTACCACTTAGATGTACACACTTATATACATGTAGTAGCTTGTAAAACTCGTTTTATTTGCAAAATCGGTCAGCTAATCCCCGTATAAAAGCCCGATATGTTTATTCATGGTAAAAATCGAGTTTCAAAAGGATTGAAAAACTGTACTAACATATCTACATTCAAACTTGGAGAAAGTTTCTTTTTTGTTTCAGTATATTTGTCTTCATAATGATATGAATCAGATTTTTAAGTGTTTCTCTAAAACATGCTAAATAAATGATTGTAATTATAAGCAAAATCAGATTTTAATAATTTTGTTTATGGTTCAGGTTCTTTTATTGTTTACATTCTCTCTATGAATTACCAATTATTTACTTTATCCAGCTGGATTTCTCACTAGAGATCCCAGAGTCAAGGAAAGAAAAAAGCCAGGTCAGGAAAAAGCCAGAAAGAAATTCACATGGTAATTTATATTAAACACTTCTAAAGTTTGAATTAAATGCTCTGGCTATTGTATTAAAATTATTTATGAATTGCTCTTGCTCTATCAATTCAACATATTATTTTTTTGTTCCTTAAAGGGACCTGAATTTTGTTTTTTTAATCAATGTCAGTGTTTTAGTTAATAACCAAAAAACAACTCTTAATTTATATGAAAGAAGTTTTTCAGCATTCTTTGTTTGGATATTTATAGCCAAAGGGTATTTTTTTTTCTCAATTGAGAAGATGCCCAAGTCTCTTGTTATAGGGGAAAAATTATTGCTATAAATGCTAATTTGGGAATTAAAAAAAACAGTGATGTAGGTTAAGATGTTTGTGAAACTGCATGATTTTAAAGAAAATTTTGATTGGGAAGTGGCCTTTGCTAGGAAAACTGCATGATTTTAAAGAAAATTTTGATTGGGAAGTGGCCTTTGCTAGGAAAACTGCATGATTTTAAAGAAAATTTTGATTGGGAAGTGGCCTTTGCTAGGAAAACTGCATGATTTTAAAGAAAATTTCAATTGGGAAGTGGCCTTTGCTAGGAAAACTGCATGATTTTAAAGAAAATTTTGATTGGGAAGTGGCCTTTGCTAGGAAAACTGCATGATTTTAAAGAAAATTTTGATTGGGAAGTGGCCTTTGCTAGGAAAACTGCATGATTTTAAAGAAAATTTCAATTGGGAAGTGGCCTTTGCTAGGAAAACTGCATGATTTCAAAGAAAATTTCAATTGGGAAGTGGCCTTTGCTAGGAAAACTGCATGATTTTAAAGAAAATTTCAATTGGGAAGTGGCCTTTGCTAGGAAAACTGCATGATTTTAAAGAAAATTTCAATTGGGAAGTGGCCTTTGATAAGCTTCTGTTTTAAAAGGTGCAAAATCACTGAAGGGCGCATTAAATGTACCATTTTTATACGCCCGTTTGAAAAACGGGACGTATTATGGGAACGCCCCTGGCGGGCGGGCGGTCGGGCGGGCGGGCGGACGGGCGGCGTCCAATTTTGTCCGGAGCATATCTCCAACATGTATGGAGGGATTTTAATGAAACTTCATAGAAATGTTCACCACTATGAGGAGCAGTGTCGCGCACATGAACCAGGTCTCTAGGTCAAAGGTCAAGGTCACACTTAGAGGTCATTGAAAAATGCTTGTCCGGAGCAAAACTTCCACATGTATAGAGGGATTTCAATATTACTTGGCACAAATGTTCACCATTGTGAGGCGGAGTGTCGCGTGCAAGATTCAGGTCCTTGCGGCCAAGGTCAAGGTCACACATAGAGGTCAAAGTTCAGATAAAAATATGAAGATGTGTATATGGACCATTTAGTCATCATTTATTGACGGATTGTAACACAAATGGTCATTATCAAGACTATGGCTGTGATACATATAATTTAGGTCAATATATACAAGGTCAAGGTCACTAAAGATGATAAAATATCCAGATTTTGTAAATAGAATTTAATCAAAGGGCGACAACAAAGTTATTACTTTGTTCATAAATGACTTACACAATTACTCCCCTTGATCTTTCAATTCTAAAAATAGAATTTAATCAAAGGGCATAAAATAATCCTCTTTCTTGGACTTGAGTAGTTCTAAAGAATGTAACATTTATTTACACATGTTGCATTCATTGGTCAAGATTCTTAACTGTGATAACTATGGTGTTCTGTAGACTTGGTATTTGTTCATAAAGATCATACAGTAATTACCTTATCAAATGTAAATACTTTCCCATAGAAATTTAATTATATTTTAATTTTCAAGTAAATATCAGTTCAGCTCATTCAAAAATTAAGAATTGTAATGAAATGTATTTCCCTAGAATAAAATCTTAAATCAGAATTTTTTAGTTATTAAATTACAATTACATGTACTTTTTATCTTCCCTACTGATTTGTTTTAAGGTTCATTTAACAACACAGTGCCAAGGATAAAAACTTGCTTGCTAGATAACACTTATCCATAATGCCCCCATCTCCATCTAAAGCTTTCGTAAACGGGCGTATTTTGTGACTATGGCACCCTTGTTCAAGTTAGTATTTTACATCAAAATAAATATATGAAGTGTGTCATTCAGTTCATTGTAATAATTGATGACAATTTCCATGCTAATGTGGACTGTTCATTCATTGATTGTGAAATCTAATTGATTTTTTTTCTGTATTTCAGGAAAAGAAGATAAATTCACTATCTCACTTGTATGTGGATATACATTCGCCTCAAATTATCATGTACAAATGATACTGCAGACAGATTTTTAATAGAACAATAAACTAAGCATTTTGAAAACGTCAATGAAGAAAAATCTTTAAAGTGGATTGAAAACTTTGTTTCATAAGAAACTTCACAGAGGAAATCATGCTGAAATTATTTGAGAAGAAAAATTTATCTGTTAGTATACAGACCTGCCAAATTTAGCAAACCATGTGGCGTGAAATTTTTAATTGTAACACTGAATATGCAACTGTTAAAATTTTGGATGAAAGATATGAATTATTCGTTCAATGTTTTAAAATAATTCAACTGATGCTCAAAAGATAGTTTGTACTGACAGTAAATTACATTTGAAACATTATTGAAGCTACCATTGACCAATAAAGAGCTGTTATCTATTTTGTAATTTGTCACCTACGTTACCTTCAAGCTACAAGGTTCAAAGTTGGCCAGTGACTTCTGCAGGAAGGAATTGGTTAAACTATTGGCCCTGAAGATGTGTTAAGCTACTTTTAAAGGTTTGAATAAAATATGTTCTGGATGTAAAAAATTGCTGTTGTTTTTTATTTACTGAGTAAAATGACAATAATCAGCCCCAAGGACAGAATATTCTCATTATAGTGTATTACTGACTAGCATACAATACTTCAGTGGAAAGTGTTGTTGGTCTCCAGTAACAAGAATCTCGAAGCTGGATGACTTTCTTTTACTACATGATTTCAGGAAAAGTCAGCCAATGTCAGATGTTCTCATCTATGGTGTGGAAGTTTGCAGTTAATGTGGAGAAGGTTACTCGAGTTGATAAACTTTTTATCTCAAAATCATAATTTCTGACTGAAAATCTTATGAGACAACTGAATATGACCAGCCAGTAAAACTGATTGATGAAAATAATTTGCTCCATTAATCAGGTCATCTGTTTAAAACTGGATTTCTAGTGTGTAATGTACAGAGGTATTCCAGGTCTCTGTTTGATTATAAATTATATATGTAGCTTTCCTTGAACATTTAAATTGTTCAACGCTGATTTAATTTTTCATTAGTCAAAGATCAAATGCAATAGTTCCTATACTTCTAAATCATAATACTGAAATCAGTTGACAGTTTGAGCTGGTCAGACTGTATAGTAATACAGAGCAAACTGGCTTGGCTCTATTATAGATGGCCTGTCATTAACTGACTACGAGGGTTAAATAATTTTCCCTGAAGTTTACCATAACAAGAGGGCCATGATGGCCCTGGATCGCTCCCCTGACCCATCAACCGCATCCAAGCAATGTCTTAGACAAGCATCCTAGCCAAGTTTGATGACAATTGAGTCAAAAATGTGACCTCTATTGTGTTAAAAAGGTTTTCCATATTTGGGCAAAGTGACCTCATTTTTGACTGAAGATGACCCATATTCAAAGTTGACCTAGAAATCATCAAAACAACCTTCATGACAAATTTCCAGGATATTTGGATCAAAACTGCAGCCACTAGTGTTAAAAAGCTTTTTCTATTTTTAGCTTCTGTGACCTAGTTTTTGACCGGAGATGACCCATCTTCAAACTTGACCTAGAAATCATCATAACAACCTTCCTGACAAATTTCCAGAACATTTGGATCAAAACTGCAGCCACTAGAGTGTTAAAAAGCTTTTTCTATTTTTATTTCTTGTGACCTAGTTTTTGACCGGATATGACCCATCTTCGAACTTGACCTAGAAATCATCAAAACAAATGTCCAGAATATTTGAATCAAAACTGCAGCCAGTAGAGTGTTAACAAGCTTTTTCTATTTTTAGCTCCTGTGACCTAGTTTTTGATCGTAGATAACCCATCTTCGAACTTGACCTAGAAATTATCAAAACAACCTTCCTGACAAATTTCCAGAATAATTGGATCAAAACTGCAGCCACTAGAGTGTTAACAAACTTTTTCTATTTTTAGCTACGCACGACGGACATAGCCCCATCACTAAACCTCACCTTGACCACTTCATGGTCAGGTGAGCTAAAAATGCGAAGAGTATTTGTACAGTGTACAATATCTAAGTAATTGCAGTAAAGAAACAAACAAATTTTTCATAACAATTTTACTACATGTACTTCACATTAATACAGAATATATTTCATTCAAACTGACATTAAAAAGTAAATGAAAGACGAAATGGGGACAGCATTTTCAAAATAAATCATCTTTTCCGCTTGAACTGCCATTTATAATGGGCAGCTGAATTCTTTGTCTCCTCAGCAACTTTTTTCCTCTTCAAAGATTTATCCTGCAGTAAATATAAAATAAAACGTAATTACTTTATAAACGATTGAATGGACACATTAATTTTATTTTTTCATCAACAACAAAAAACATGAATCATAAACAACATCAACAACTTTAATCTGTATGACATTCTTTACATTTATTGTTGCATCTGGTTGTCAAATTTGAAAATTGGCTAATGTTTTATTTAACTGTATCATTATCTCCCTTTATTTTTTTTTAGAGATTTTTAAGTTTTTTCATGTTCAACAAACAGTCTATATCCATAGAAAACACCCCCATAATCATCCGCGATAAGAACTAAGACATACCAGTAACTGTTTCCTTCGTTCCATTTTCTGTGATATTACACCAAGATGTTTCTCTCGCTGTATTCTCTTCTTTAACTCCTGATATTTCTTCTTTTTCTTCTCTGTTGCACTCTACAACACAAATCACATCTTATTTAATTTATGATATACCAAACTTAAGTTAAAATACTTATAAAGCCATTCAAATTGTGGCTTTACACAATACTTAATAACTTTAAACTTTTGACATTTTTTTTTTCTGGTTAAAGATATACTATGCTCACTTTAGTGGATTTTAGAACAGTTCGTTCAATAATTAAGGGATCAGGATAAAAATTGAGCTACTAACAGTTAATAGCCTGATCAGACTAAACAGATGAGCAGGCTGGTGTGCAGACTGACCGAAACAAAGGCTTATCACTTATGAAACCAGCAGGTTAGGAGTTCAACAATTTTATAAGAAAAAAATACTGTTTAAATTTACCAGAAAGTCTGTCTCATCAATGTCAGCAACAAATTCACCATTCTGTAGGCTTTCAAGAGTTGGACGATTAAATCTTCTACCAACTAGAGCAGGGTGTGTTCTAAAATGCTTTGCAGCATCAAAGTTCTTGGCTGGAATAAATTACATCAAACTATCTATTATACTTTACTATTTATTAATTATTATTACACACTGCCAATATAACTTGACTTTTACAATTTGAACACTACCATAATCATTTACCCACCTTCCAACAAATTATGCAGTCCTTTCATGCACAGAAAAAATTGATTAATTCTAAGGAATGTAAACTTTATTTTTTTCATATAAGTAGTATATAATATGATGGTTCCGGGACACTTTGAAGCCTAAAAAAGTGTTTATCTATCAAACCAAAGGGTAAGACAGCTCGACATGGCTTACCCATCAACCCAAAAAGTAAGACAGCTCGACATAAACCCCATTTATTGATTTAAGAACACCCTCGGGCCAAAACCCCCCCGGAACCATCATATTATATACTACTCATAAATAGAATACTGTAAGACAGCCTAAAAGGCTCTTGTAAGGGAACCGACGAAGGCGGGAACCGACGAAGGCTCTTGTACTTTTTTATAATTTAAATATATAAATGAGTTTACAAAAACAAATATATTGTTTAAAAGAACGAACATACACTGATAATGTAAATCCTCAATATGTTACAACAAAAAACGGAAGATTAATGATAAAAGCCGTGTGTGCTTCATGCGGTAAATTGAAATCTAAGTTTGTAAAACAAGGCGGTTCAATAGATATTCATAAAGCTATGTTACCTTTGTTGCCTAAAAAAGGTTTAACTCTTCCTGGATATAACTATTGCGGACCAGGTAACCCACTAGTCAATGGATCACCTGTTAATCAGTTAGATGAAGTATGTATGAATCATGACTATTGTTACGATAGTGGCCTAAGTAAAAGTGAGTGTGATAAGAAAATGTTATCTGATTTAAAGACAACTAAATCAAAAACTATTGGTGAAAAACTAGCAAAAAATTTAGTAGTAAAGCCTGTTATAAATATGAAATATAAACTTGGTTTGGGGCAAACACGAAATTCAAAAAACGTAAGAAGGGGGCAAAGCATGATAAGCGCAACATGCGACTTACCCCCGAAGTAACATGGAACGTTAAATTAGCCAATGAATTACACAGACCAATCAAACGGAAGTTTCCAAAACGGAGAGTTATAGTAAATGATGTAGATGATACTTGGTCTGCTGATTTAGTTGATATGCAAGCCTTTTCTAAAGATAACAAAGGAATAAAATACTTATTAACAGTTATTGATGTGTTTAGCAAGTATGTTTGGGCTGTTCCGATAAAAAATAAAACTGGTGATTCTGTTACAGAGGCTTTTAATGAAATAGTTTCTGGTGGTAGAAAACCAGAGAATTTGTGGGTTGATGAAGGAAAGGAATTTTATAATAAAACTTTTCAATCATTCTTAGATAACAAGATTGCATTTGAGAAAAATGCTATGCCACCGCATTAATACAACACTAAATAGTAGTGTAGGAACAGATTTTTTCTGTTTCTTTACAATTTTGAAGATTGTCATAAAGCATAGATCCCTGACCTATCTTACTCTTATTATCAGATAAGTGGTTAAATCTAATGTTAACTCAATAAAAGATCAGAGTAGGAATATATCAATGCACTCGAGTCTAGTGAATTTGGTGGTGAAGGTCATATTTCACACAGCCTAAATTTCATGACTAAATCAAAAGGACAACAAAGTAAGACACTTTGTCAAAATCTAGGTCAGCTGAAATCAAAGTTCACTTTACATCTTAATCTGTGTACAGGGTTCAAATTTCATAGCTGTACATCAAAGGACAAGAAAGTAGGTCACATCAACAAAATCTAGGTCATCTGATATCAAAGTTCAATTTTACAACTAAAACTGTGCACATGGTCAAAATTTCATTGCTGTACATCAAAGGACAAGAAAGTAGGTCACTGTCCCCTTTGGCAAGGCAAAATTTTGGACCCAAGGGTTTAATTCAAAACAATCTTGATACAGGTCCACCAAAAAACATTTCAAGTCAAATATCTAAGCTGTAGCTTTCTCCCATTCAGAAAACATTTGTTTTATTTTCTGTTTTTACTATGTGTACATAATGAGAATCACTGCCCCGGGCCAGGCCAATTTTGACACCAGGGGGAAAATTTGAACAACTTTAGTAGAGGGCCTACAGATGATATTATATAGCAAACATCAAAGCTCTATCCCTTGTTCCTTCAGACAAAAATATTTTTTATTTTTTTACTATGTGTACATAGTGAAAATCAATGACCCCTGGGGGTGGGGCCAATTTTGACCCCAGGGCTATAATTTGTACAATCTTGCTAGAGGTTCACTACATAATGTTTCATGCAAAATATCTTAACTCTAGTCTTTGTAAATTTAAAGAAGATGATTTTTTAAGTTTTTACTTTATACATATAAGGAAAACCTAAGGCCCCCGGGGCGGGGCTAATTTTGACACTAGAGGCAAAATTTGAACAACTTTGGTAGAGTTCCTATAGATGATATCATTTAACAAATATTAAAGCTCTAAGCCTTGTACCTTCAGACAATAAGATTTTTTACTATATATATATTTAAAATCAATGACCCCTGGGGCGGGGCAATTTTGACACCAGGGCTATAATTCAACAACAATCTTGCTAGAAGTTCACTTCACAATGTTTCATGCAAAATATCTAACCTCTAGCATTTGTCAATTGCTAGAAGAAATTTTTTTAAAGTTTTAACTATAAGTTTTTACTATATACATATAAGGAAAACCAATGACCCCCCGGGCGGGGCCGATTTTGACCCCAGGGCTATAATTTGAACAATCTTGGTAAGGGTCTACCAGACAATGCCTTATGCAAAATATCTAAGCTCTAGGCCTTTTGGGTCATTACAAGAAGGTATTTTAAGTTTTTATTATATGTACATATAGAGAAAGTCAATGACCCCCGGGGCAGGGGCAATTTTGACCCTAGGGCTATAATTTGAACAATCTTGGTAGAGGTCTACCAGACAATGCCTTCTGCAAAATATCTAAGCTCTAGGCCTTTTGGGTCTTTACAAGAAGGTATTTTAAGTTTTTACTATATGTACATATAGTGAAAATCAATGACCCCCGGGGCGGGGCCGATTTTGACCCCAGGGCTATAATTTGAACAATCTTGGTAGAGGTCTACCAGACAATGCCTTATGCAAAATATCTAAGCTCTAGGCCTTTTGGGTCTTTACAAGAAGATTTTTTAAATTTATTCTTTTAATTCCTTTTGGTTGCCATGGCAACCAGATTTCTGCATGGAATGAAATTCTTTGAACAACTTTGGAACCCCTTCACCCAAGGATCAATCCTGCCAAGTTTGGTTGAAATTGGACTAGTGGTTTTTCACAAGAAGATTTTTTAAGTTCACTATATAATCTATATAACACACACACACACACACAAACAACACACACACACACACACACACACACACACACACACACACACACACACAGGTGAATCGCTATATGCCACCGCATCGCAGATGCTGCGGTGGCATAAAAATACAATAAACATGTACCACACATTTAATGAAGGCAAAGCTGTGGTTATCGAACGTTTCAATAGATCCCTAAAGCGAATAATGTGGAAATACTTTACCTCTAATAATACTTATACTTATTTAAATGATTTACCAAAAATGTTAGAAAAATACAACAACACAAGACATAGTAGTATAAAAATGTCACCTAAACAAGCAAGCAAACAGTTAAATAAAGGTAATGTTTATTTTAATTTATATGGTGATTTAAAAATATCAAAAAGTAAGGCTAAATTTAAGATTGGAGACCGTGTTCGTTTAAGTAAAATTAAGAGACCTTTTGAAAAAGGATATACACCAAATTGGACAGAAGAAATATTTACAATTGATGGAATTCAAAATACAAACCCAAGAACATATACTATCAGGGATTTAAATAATGAGCTGGTCCAGGGTTCATTTTATGAACAAGAACTGATGCCAACTAAACAAGAAGTTTTTTAGAATAGAAAAAGTTATAAAGCGTGACTATAAGAAAAAACAAGCACTAGTTAAATGGAAAGGTTATTCTGATAAATTCAATAGTTGGATAAAGATGCCAAAAATAATAAATGCTGAAATTATATAATGAGTAAACAAATTGAAAATCTTGATGAACTAATAGATTATTTAACAAGACTTGCATCAGCATATAGAAAAAGTTATAAATTTTGTGGAAGGGTAAGCGTAGGACTTCAAATAACAGCAGGTATTTTAGGTTGTTCAACTGCACTTGCACTTATTCCCGCCATACCTATATTTGTAGCTTTAGTAGGAGCTTTACCTTCAGTAGTTACTATATTAGCTAACAAACTCAAAGTTGCAGACAAAAAAACTATTTTAAAATTACATTATCAAAAAGTTAAACAATTAATTACTGAAGCGCGGATTGGGAAGGTAACCTCCACAAGTTATGATGGACAGAAAGTTATCGAAGATATCTTTACAAAACTATTAGAAATAGAAAAAGATAAAAATTATACAACACCTTTGGAAATTTATATGAAAGAATATAAGCTAAATGGTTATAAAGAAACCTCTTAAAATATCTTTTATAGCTAGTGCGTTGTAAAAATGTGAAGTTTTTTTCTTTAAGCATGTTATATAATGAATAGATTAAATAACAGTATGGATACAAAATGCGATTTTTTTGCATATTATATACAAAAATCAGAACTCTTAAAATTACCAATATTATTTAATAAAGTTAGAAAGAATAGAAACATTTTAAGAGCCAATATTACTAAATTAACTAAAGAAGAAGTAAAAGAAAATATACGATTTAAATTAGAAACAATTATAGAGCCTTACCTTTTTAGAACAAAAAAACTTTATGAATGGAGTTGCGGTTGTTTATTTCCTGTAGAGGAAAATAGTGATATTTTATGCGATTGTCCAAGACCTAATCATAATAATTATCGTAATAACCCTAAACCGGTTATAGCAACTTATATACCTCCAAACGGAGATGGTGAAGATTCATATTATCCTTCAATTTATGCCGCATCTAAAGATCTTGGT